GCCCCGAGGGAGGGCGCCTGGGCATGGGGTACCCCAGCCAAACCCCGCACGAGGCTGTGACTGCCCCGTGCATGGGGGTCCCAGCAGGGAGGTGGGTCCCCATCCCGTCCCCATGGTCCCAGCGGCGCCGCTCTCCTTTCAGGGAGGAGCCCTTGCAGAAGTTCACGGGCAAGACGGAGCCCGTGGAGGTGCTGCGGGTGCTGCGCATCGAGAAGGACAACTTCAAGAAGCCCAAGGAGCGGCCCCATCCCCAGGCCATGCTCGCCTTCGACTGGGGACTTTTCAGCCCCTTCCTCGAGAAGAAATGAGCGGCTGCGGCGGGAGCTCCCAAAATGCAGCGTCCCCATCCCGGGGCTGCGTCCGTCCAGCTCCGATTCACTCCAGTAAGACTCAGAAACTGGGAAAGTTCTTCCTGTCTTTATGTGCTCATTTTGGGGCTGCTCTGTTTCACTCCCTCCAGCGCCGTGCCCGGCTCCCCTGGCCCGGGGGGGCTTCGCTGAGCACCCGGTCCCTGGGGGTGGGCACGTGTGGGTGCCCTCAGCGGGCTCAGGCACCAGTTAAACCCACAGCGGGGCTGCGGTTGCTGCTGGTGGGGAGGTGTTTTTTGGAGGAGAGGACACCCGTGTTGGTGGGTGCGGGAGCTGCACCACTTTTCCTGTGGGAGCCAGGGGAGAGAAGGGAAAAGGTGGGGACTTGGCTGCTCGAGAGGTAACGGGGAAGGGGACCGGGGTTTTTGGTGGCGTTCAGCAGCACCCGCTTGGCTCCAGACTCAGCAAACAGAAACCTCCATTGCAGTGGGTATTTTTCCCCCCCCCTCTCTTTCTCCCCTATTTTTATAGTAGGTAAATGCAGAAACATTGCATAGGGATTTGTAACACAGTCACTGACTTCAGGAGCCACCCAAACCCCTTAAACCACGCAGAGTGCGCTCACGTGGAGGAAAACCTGCTGTGCCCCACGGGCTTTGTGAAATACTCTCCGAGGTGTGACAATTCTTTAGGCAGCAAACATCAGCGCATCCATTGCTGCTTTTTTCCTCCCCAAGATAAAAAAAACCTGGAAAACTCTTGGCTGAAACTTGCATTTACGTTGCCTTCTCCTTAGAACAGGAGCGGCTGGGTCTGCTCAGCCTTCGCCCTGTGTGACATCAGTACTGTATTTTCGTTTATTTTTGAAGTCTGAGAGACGTGCAGAGCTTTTATTTGCTGTCAAGCGCAGTGGAAATCCCTCCAAGGGGCTGCGCAGGTGGCTCTGGTTTCTTTACCTCAGTGAGCAGAGCGTGAGCGTCTCTGTTCTCCCGAATTTAAACCCGTCGTGCAAAGCTCAAATGGAAAACAGAGCAGCAGCGGAGTTGGCCCCGTAACCCTTTCCCATATCTTGTAATTTTAAAGAGTGTTAATTACAGATTTTATAGCTCCTAACACTGGAATATCGTTGACTTCAGGATCTTTCGTGTGTGGACTGTGAACTGCATCCGCTGCCACTGAAGCCTGGTTTGTGGCTGCTCCTTCCCTTGCTATAGAAACCAGCCTGAGCTTTTCTTTCTTTGCTTTTATTAAGAAGTTACTGCATTAGAATTTCATCTCCTCTTACAGGAGGGGAAGAATCAATCGTGCTGCACAAGTTGCCTTGGTACGATTGCCTCCAGCTTACCCAGTTTCAGTACCGGTGCAGTTTGTGGGTGGTACCTGGGTGCTCCTCTGGGTTCATTTACTGGGTGCAGAGATGCTCCCCCATGTGTGGGGAAGTTCCTGAGCCGGCCCAGGATGCTCACATTGAGCGCAGCAGCTCAGCAGTGGGGGAAATCCAAGCTTTTCTCAATACCATGGCAAGAACAGGCACTGGGAGCGTCCTGGGGCTGAGGTCTTGGTGTGTTCTGAGTTTTAATTGCCGTTTTGATTGCCACTTTGATTGCATTTCTGCCACCCAAAGCTCCAGCAGCGCGCGTTGTTGGGAACCTGGGCACTGGAGGAGAGACAAAATACAACCCCAGTTCTTTAATTACAGCGAATTTAGCTTGATTTCTTTGTGTCCTTGTGGCCTGCTGTGCATGCTGTCAACAGAAGCAGGTGTTTTGTGTGCGCCGACGTCCAGAGCTCATCCCAGCACTTCACGCTGCACTGACTGCGTTAGCACGGGTACCTCTTGCTGTGGAGAAGTTGTTAAGGTTTAGTGTTAGAAACCCGTGCATGAAACGGGCATTCGCTGAAGCCGGCTTGCTTGGGAAATGAACGGGGCGGGGAGGGGAAGCAGTGGGAGATTCTTGCCTTACGAACACTGTGAACTGAGCGGCAACAGCTGAAAAATGTAAAGCTTTTTAATTAAAAACCTTCTCAGAATGTCTTCTGCACTGCTGGCTTGCTTTCACTGAAGAGCAGAGGGTTATCTCGGGCGAGGGTTGTCTGTGCCCTGCGTCTGGGCAAGGTTTGTCTGGGCTGGGGCAGTACCAGCTCCACATTTGTGTGCTCTCTGAAGGAACAGAGCGATGTGGCAGCTTTGGTTGCAGTTTTCATCCACTTAACTCTACTTCTGCACAGTCCTTCCTCCTGCCATAGCAGGAAAAAGGAGAAATCTTGAAGTGATTCAATAACACGATTAAAGTTCACGTTCCCTCGCAGCTGCAGTCACCAGGAGTCTCCACATCCAGGTTTGTCCCTTCCCCTCGAGTTCGGGTACAGCTGCAAACCCCCCCCACTGCTGCCTTCCCCCATGGAGCTCCAGATTCAGATTAAATTGACCAAACCAGAGTTATTAATGCAGTTTTCTGTGAATACCTGCATGTAAAAATACAGACAGCAAGGCAAGCACAAGGCATCTCCAGTAACAAAGTCCAAACCTGTCTCACATCCATCTGTCTCCTGGCGAGGCACCGTGAGATGCTGCACTAAACCAGACGTGGTTTTACCAGCCCCTGGGATTGTTCTGGTAAACTACTTGGTGTAACAATCACACCTCACAGCCGCCTTCTGGTAACTTTTGTAAGTCACACCTTCCTCAGACACCAAGGGCTTTGTTGGAAGGAAAGTTGGCAATGAATTCTCATTTGAAACACTAAAAAATTGGTTTATCTGAATTTCAGATAAACCTGGGTCTCTCAGCTCCAGAAGGACAGGAACTGCTTGAAAGAGTCCAGCAGGGCCACAGAGATGAGATGCTGGAGGGAGTGGAGCATCTCCTGCTGAGGAGCGGCTGAGGGAGCTGGGGCTCTTGAGCTTGGAGCAGAGGAGACTGAGGGGTGCCCTCATTCCTGGGGATCCATTGGGAAAGGGCAGTGTCAGGAGGAAGGAGCCAGGCTCTGCTCTGGGATGGCCAATGCCAGGACAAGGGGCAATGGTCCCAAGCTGGAGCACAGGAGGTTCCAGCTGAAGATGAGGCCAAACTTTGTCAGTGTGAGGGTTATGGAGCATGGCCCAGGCTGCCCAGAGAGGTTGTGGAGTCTCCTTGTGTGGAGACACCCAAAGCCCTGGCCGTGTTCCTGTGTGACTGCTCTGGTGCTCCTGCTCTGGCAGGGGTTGCACTGGGGGAGCTTTCCAGGTCCCTTCCAACTCCTCACATTCAGGGATTCTGTGATTCAGGAAATTCTCCATCAGTAACTGCTGTTGAGGATGGGGTAGATGTGACAATGCTGAGTATTTAGGGAGAGGAAGAGAGAGATGCAATTGCTCATTTACAGACAATTGTTATAATTAAAGGCAAAATAAATCACTCTTTCTTCTTAAACATTCACTAAGGCCACATTTCAGCAGGCAGTAGAACAGCCCTGGGGATGCTGCTTCTCTGGTGATGCCAGGATGCTGAGAGGACCAAGGCCAGCAAATGGAAAAACAGAAGCTAGGGTCTCATTAGACCATTTATAACAAAATTAGGGTGTCCCGACAGAGACAGCCCTAAAACTTAGTGCTGTGAAAATACAGCGAGGCCTGGACGAGTAACGCTGCCACGTAGCATAAACCTGATCGCAGTGAGGCTACTGCAAGGCAAAGCCTTCAGCGCCTTAAATGGATCAGTTCTGGTCGGATGGGGCTGTACTGGGAGTGCAGATCGAGTCCTTGAAGAGCAGGAGGAGGCTGGGATGTGCCACTGCTGCTTTTGACGTGTGCGTTAAGTCAGCGTTTGGTTTTTACTGCCATCACTTCAATAACTGTAAAGCTGTAGGAATTAACATTGCCTGCCTATGTGCACATTACCTTCTCATCCCTAACAAGAGGCAGAAATTGCCAACTCCCACTGATGGCACAGAATTTTCGCCGTCTTTTGGGAACTTTAAATATATTTGCATTAAAAAGGCACTGAGTGTATCTGTGTCTGGGCTTCACAGCTCTGCTGCCAGCAGTCTTCACCATTTGATGTTGAATCCAGTGCTCGCTTTCTCCACGGCGTGGTACTGTGTGTGCAATGCTTTCGCAGCCTTTTCTGACTCCGCGCCACCCAGCCACTGCTCGTAGAGTTCATTTACAGCCTGGTTCTGCTCTGGGATTTCGGACCTCGGGGACTCGTACAGCCTCTCGACGTGCTGCAGCTGCTCCTTGCTGGATTCACCGCCGAGTTTGAGCTGACCTCCTCCGTTCAAGCAGCCTATGTGAACCAAACTGAGGTTAGAAAGCACTTTGGCTCTATCAGGTGAAAACAAATCCCAAACCAACTGCAGTTAATTCGCTCTGCACCTGCAAACAGTTACAGGAATGCAAACACCACTATAATTGTGGTTTACTCCCCAGTTATCCCACACCAGCAGGCTGGATCAGCTGTGGGAGGGTTGTCAGGGCTGGGATGTGCCAGGGAGGCAGAGGCAAGGAGCTGCAGGGAGCTCTGGCTCCCATCTTGTGCCCCCAGGAAAGGGCCAGAACAGAAACCCAGTGGGAGCAGCCTTGGAGTCTCAATTGAAGGTAAGAAACACCCTGGGTGTGTTCTGGGTTTGCTGCGGGGTGCAGGTGGGTGATGAACTGAGCTGCGCAGTGTGTGGGTGCCCACAGCAGAGTCCTGGTGCTGAGCTGTGCAGCCCCTCAGTTGCTCAGTGCCTGGATTTGCAGCTCAGCACTGCTTCAGGCTGGGTTCAAGCTGCCCATGCTCTTCACTAACAGATTCAGAGAACCAGGAGGAAGGAAAAAGGTATGAAATGGGTAGAAAGAGACTTTCTCCACCAGCCATTATAAGCATTCTCTAAAAAGGTAACAGTCAGCTTTGTGCAATTTTAGAGGATAAATCTCCTCGTGTACTCAGAGCTCAGGAAAAGCAGGAGGACCTCCTCAAAAGCACTGGTTGGGCAGATTTTGTGCAATGAAATTTAACTGCAGTTACTTAAATCCTGAAGAATTACTGGCTGCTAGGTAGGAAAATACACACGCAAACATCCTTGACATTCTGATGCTGTGACTACCGCAGCTCAAGAGTTTGAAGGCTTTGCTACAATATTCAGGATGTGAGAAACTGCCTGTTGTCCTTGTATTTTAGTTCTAGTTTCACGTAGCTGCTGACAGCTGTAGATTGTAGCAGTGAAACCCTGTGCAGCCTCACCTGATGGGCAGGCCATGACTTCCACGTAGTGATAGGGCGACTTCCCTCGTTTCAGCTTTTGCACCAAGTTCTGAATGTTTCGAAACCCATACGCCAAAGCAAACTGGAGCAGGACGACTCCATCCTTCTCCAGCGTCACCTCCTGGAAGTCCTTGTTTCTGAGGAACCAGAGCAGGGAAAATGTCTTATCCAAATTAACTTCTATTTTAAACTTCAAAGAGCCCAAGTGCTTTGTGAAATCTTAATAGAGAAAGCTGTCCTAGTTCTCTGCCACCCAAAACAGATGAAGGAAGGAGTTTACAGACTCTTTTCCCATCTCGTTTGAGGACCTGCCACCCGAACTGAGTGTGCTGGAGAACACCTGTGTTGAATAAGCCCTTAAAAGCCAAGCAAATGGAGCCTGAACAACAGTTTCATTGTGATTTGCCTCCTGAGTGGGCTTCAGCCAACTTTTACATTAGTGAGGCCACTGAGGAAACTCTTAAACTGTAGTGGGCCATAAAACCATGGGGCAAACCATCATTGAAGGCTTCCAGACTCCTAAGGTTAGTGGAAATACCCATTCCTGATAAAAGCATAAGTAATCTGATTTTTATCAGGTATTTGATAATGAGACTCTGGGGGACTGTTCCTTCTGCTTCCTAGACCACAGAATCTTAAGTGTCAATATTGCTAATCAGGGATAAAATTCATGACAAATGCTACATTAATATCGTAGCTGGGAAGCTAACAGGAGTCTCAGCTGAATGAGCCTCTATGCTCAAACTCCAGGGACTCGTTTTCTGTCCTGCCACAGCACAGTTAAACAGAGCCCCAAAGCCCTGACCCAAGATTTTCTGTTCTGTGATAGCCAGATTAGTAACGCATCTGCCTTCTTGGTCTGACTGCAGGTGAGGAAGCCCAGATCCATGCAAGCTTTGTCTTTTAAAATTACTCTTAAAAACTGTCTGCAACTTGATACTGGGAAAAGCCATCAGGCCAAAATAACGTGTGTGGGTGGCGAAAGGGCTGGGAGTCTCCAAGGGAAAGGCTGCACGGAGCTGGCTGATTTATTGCTCAGCAACTGTGGGAGTGAGACACCAATTCCCATGCCTTGAAGTAAAATGTTTAACATTGCAAAGAAAGTTTCAGCCCATCAGCAAGATAACAGCGTGGACAGAGTTGCAATTAAAAAACCAGTGCTTTCTGCAGGACTTTAAACTCCTTACTTTAAAGGTTTGTACTGAATCGTATCCACTTGGATTCCAAAAAGCTCCTTGGCTGCGTGCTTGTATATGTGCTCCAGGTAGCCACCAGAACCACCTCCTGAGTGGGAAGTGAGCTCCTCCTCTGCAGCGCTGCTGAAC